CAAGGTGTCACCCTGGAGGTGGATGATGAGAGGGTATTATTGCCTCCCTCCGATCAAGGAAGGGGAGGATTGGGGACAGGGTGTGTGCAGCAGTGGGGATTAATTCTGCTGCCACTGCCAGTGCCACTGCCCTTGGCTGACTTGGATGCAGAGCCAGAGTTGCTCCTACTTAGCTCTAGCCCTAGGCTGCTTGTGCAATGGACTCTGCAGGGAGCAAGCTTGCTGGGAGAAAGCAATAGTACTGCCTGCAGGGTCCTTCTTCCAGTGCCTGCTCTTGGCGGCTGGGGGATGGATACCTAGTGAGCAGCGGTTGAAGGAGAAGCCTGTGTGCTGCCCCTGCAACTGTCCCCGCAGAGCCTAACTTCTACACCGCTGCTCCCTGAAGACCTGGGGAGGAGCAGCTCTGGGGCTCCCTCTCCCTGATCAGCCAGGGACAGTGGTAGTTGCAGTGGGGGCAGATTCCCCAGTCGCTGCTTCTGTTCCCTGCTTGGCTCCTTGGTGTGCCCTGCTGGCCTGGGGGCTCCTGCTGTCCCTTGCTCCCATTTCCCTATAGTCCAAAGGGCAGCGTACCACACCCACCTTCAGGAAATTCCCAGTCTGCCCATGGCACAACCCTGCTGTTTGGAGGGTGTGAGGGCAGGGCCTGTGGGGGGGGGAGGAGGCAGAATGCCCCACCCCCCTGCAGGAGCGCCCAGGCTGGAGCCCTGCATGCCGCACATGGGACCCAGAGCAGGGGCACTAGTCCCAGGGCAGACCAACTGCTCTAGGCCGGCTCTGTCTACTGGGGGTGTCAAGAGCCCTCGCTTTGCTGAGCCGGACTGCTGCCAAAGGCGCGCAGCCTGATTTCCTCCTAGCCTGTGGCTGCCTAGAGTTGGAGGAGGTGGACAGGCAGCCCCTGTGCCTCCCGGGTGCCCAGAGAGGTTCCCCAGGCTGGGGCAAGCTACCTGCCGAGTCGCCCACACCAGTCCCTGGGGCCAGGCGGTACCAACAAGTGGGGAGCGGCTCTGCCCCAGTGCCGCAAGGTGCATCTCCTCGGGGGAGCAACCTACACAGGGGTCTCCCCTCGGCCCCTGAAGGAGCCTCCTCTCCGCCTCCAGGGCCCGCGGCCTGGGCCCTTCCCTCGCCTTTCACCTGGATTCAGGTGCCACTCCCCGGCCGCGGGGAGCAGCTGGGGCAGGGCTGGAGGCCGAGGCGAGGCCGCCCCCGGCCCGGCCGGACTGGCTCTGGCGCAGAGCGCGGCGGGGCCACGAGCCGCCGGCCTTTCCCGCCGCCCGCGGGGAGGG